ATATTTCTTGAATTCTTCATTCTTTTTTCGCATTTCCACCACCTCCTGCTGCATTTTCATTCTCTTCTCCAATTCTTGCTCCTCAGTGCTTTTCAGAACCTTATGCCTAAAAGATAATTCAGTAAAGAAGGAAGGCGAGAAATGGGCTCAGTAATTCAAAGGAATTTAGGCATAAAGTAGATTAGAATTTTTAACCTGTGATACAATAACCATGGAGGGGAAATATAAGGCTTTCTGCTCCCATAAAGATTTATAGCCTTGGAAACCCTATATAAGGTTGCTGCTATGAGTTCGAACTGACTAGAGGTTATTTAACAGTAACAGTAACCATAGAAACCTATAACTGTCACCTGGCAAATTGATACTGATGACACTATAATAAAAAATTGAGTTGTTGTTAGGTGCCATCGAGTCGGTACTGTCCCATAGTGACCTTATGCACAGCAGAACAAAACACTGACCGATCCTGGGCCAACCTCACTACTGTTGGCACGTCTGGAGTCCATAGATGCTGCCACTTGGCCAATCCATCTCGTTGGGGGTCTTCCTCTTTTTCTCTGACCCTCCACCTTACCAAACATGATCTCCTTCTCCATTGACTGGCCCCTTCTGACAATATATCCGAAATATGAGATGAAGTTTGGCCATGCTGACCTCCAAGGAGCTCTCTGGCTGCACTTCTTACAAAACGGATCTATTGGTTCTTTTGGCAGCCCATGGCACTTTCAATATTCTCCAATACCACAATTTAAAACCAACAATTCTTCTACAGTCTTCCTTATTCACTGTCCAGTTTTCACATCCATATGAGGTTATTGAAAATACCATGGCTTGGGTCAGGCACACCTTAGTCCTCAAGCTGACATCTCTTTGCCCTTCAACACTTTAACAAGGTCTTATGCAGCAGATTTGTCTAATGCAATATGTTGTTTGATTTCTTGACTGCTGCCTCCGTGAGCATTGATAGTTGATTCAAGAAGAATGAAGTCCTTGACAACTTCAATCTTTTCTCCATTGATAAGAATGTTGTTTATTAGTCCAGTGGTGAGGATTTTTGTTTTCTTTATATTGAGATGTAATCCATACCGAAGGATGTTCTCTTTGAGCTTCATCAGTAAATTTTCTAAGTCCTCTTCACTTTCAACAAGCAAGGCTGTATCATCTGCATATTGCAGGCTGTTAATGAGTCTTCTTCTGATCCTGATGCCACGTTTTTCTTCATAGAAGCTTCTCAGATTATTTGCTCAGCACACAGGTTAAATAAGTATGGTGAAAGAACACAACCTTGTCGCACACCTTTCTTAATTTTAAACCATTCAGTGTTCCCATGTTCTATTCGAAAAACTGCTTCTTGGTCCAGGTACAGATTCCTCATGAGCACAATTGAGTGTTTCAAATATTCATACTTCACCTTGTTGTCCATAGCTTGTCATGATCCACACAATCAAAAGCCTCTGCATAGTCAATAAAGCACAGGTAAACATCTTTCTGATATTCTCTGCTTTAAGCCAAGATCCATCGGACATTAACAGTGATATCCCTCGTTCCACAGCCTCTTCTGAATCTGGCTTGAACCTCTGGAAGTTCTCTGTCAATATGTGATTGTAGCCGTTTCTGTATTACCTTTAGCAAAACTTTACTCTCATGGGATATCAAAGAGATTGTCCAATGATTTATTTCCGCATTCCGTTGGGTCACCTCTCTTTGTAATAGGCACAAATACGGATCTCTTCCCATCCGTATTTGTGCCTATTACAAAGAGAGGTCATCCTCCAAATATCTTGGCAGAGACAGTCATCCTCCAAATATCTTGATAGTCATCCTCCAAATATCTTGGCAGAGATGAGTTAGTGCCTCCTGTGCGGCCTCACTTTCTTGAAAGATTTCAATTTTTATTCCATCAATTCCGGGTGTCTTCTTCTTTGCCAATCCTTTAATGCACCTTGGACTTCCTCCTTCATTATCATTGGCTCTGGATCATATGCTACCTCTTGAAACGGTTGAACATTAACCATTTCTTTTTGGTATAGTGACTCTGTATATTCCTTCCATCTTTTCTTGATGCTTTCTGCATCATTCAATAATTTGCCCAGTGAATTTTTCAATAACAAAAGTCGAGGTTTGAATTTATTCTTCAGTTCCCCCAGCTTGAGAAATGCTGAGTGTGTTCTTACTTTTTGGTTTTCTGATTGCAGATCTTTGTACATTCTGTTGTAATATTTGGCTTTATCTTCTCAAGTTGATCTTTGAAATTTTCTGTTCAGCTCTTGTACCTCCTCATTTCTTTCGTTTGCTTTATGACATTGTAAATCAGTGCAGTCCTTTCAGAAATAAAACTGGCCATACCCTTTAATCAAGGAATTTCTTTATCTTGAGGAAACCAGTCAAATTAAAGAGGTTCACTTACTACAAAGATGTTCACTGAGAGTATGACTTACAATAGTGAAAAACTGAAAACTACATTTTTAACAGAAGATGTTTAAAGAATAATAACAATCTTCTAAAAGATGATAATGTAAAGATTTTGTAACAACGCAGAAAAAAATTTGAAATAGAGTCGTGTCCAGTAAGTAAAGCAGAACCCTAGGTTGTTCTGACACTGATTATAAAAACATGTTTATTTGGATACAGGCCATATGGAAGCTTGAAAAAATGAACACTGTTCTGTTTAGTTGATAAGAACTTTTATGAACTTCTTCCTTTTTTACATTTCTCTTAAATTTGCGTTGAGAATATATTTTTCTTAATGTTTAATTCTTGAGCACTCACCAATATACACTGAACAATTCAATTCAACATGGTCATAGCCTCAACAGGTTTCCCAAACTCCATGGGCATGAAACAGACTGTGCATGCACCCATGTCCCATTTTATTCTAGTCACTCTAAAGTTTAAATTTAGAAAAGGAACGTACCTTACAGGTGGTGTACAAGGCACAGTATGTCTGCTCTTGGCTCTGTGTGGAGTAACTTGATGAGCACTTCCTGCTTCCCCTGGCTTCTTTTTGTTGCTAGAACTTAAGTTCAAATGGACAAAAAATATTTCCTCAGTTCCAATGCTACTACCCTCCCCTAAGTTTATCACATATATCATAACTTTCCTCATTCTTTAGGACATCAAGCATTCATACCTACAAGATTCTTACAAAAGAATCATCAGATCACATATACCAACGATTACAATGGGTAAGCTTTAGAAAGCCAGTAGAAGTCAAAGTAATAGTTGTCCAGCAATGCCAGGGGAAGAGGAGTGAGATTCCTATTGCCCATCACCCTCTTCCTTCTTCCCTTAAATATGGATGTGAGACCTACAAATACAGAAGCTACCTCATGACAATGAGCCAACAAAGCTAAGAAACACACTGCAGTATCTTGAGCAATGAGCATGAGAAAAAGTGAAAACAATCACGAAGATATTAATTCTGACATTGTTTAGACACTGAACCAAAGCTAGCAGAGAAGGGCTCTTTAGACCTCTGTGAAGCACATAAATTACTCCTGTTTTCTGATCAAATAGGCTCATAGCAAAATATAGGCCTAATCCATAAAGGTAAAACCAACACCAGTATATTCTGGCTGATTAAAAAAAACACAGCAGAGAACAGGGTTTACACCTATGCCGACTGCAGTTACTTACACTTTCATCTTCTTGGAGGGTGGAATTTCACTAGAGCCTACAGAAGTGGCACATCTCTTGGCTTTCAACTGTACAAGGTGTTTTTGTTCCAGATCCTTCTGAGCAGAAAGCCTAATAGATTTCCTATGGCAGAGGAAGTGACAAAATTTGTTAGTTCTGAACACATCTATAAAAGACACACAAATATTCCTCAGAAATGTAAAAGTATGTCAAACTAAAAATGGCATGTTAAAAAAAAAAACACCTAGTGTTGTGTAAAATTCTAATTTCTTATTGTCTAATAGTTGATGAAATTCAATAAAAAAAATTTTGGTATTTCACTACATTCACTTTGTACCTCAATGAAAATGACTCTAAAACAGAATAAAACATTGGTCATCACCCTTCTTTTATAGGTAAAACACAAGGCAACATGAAGTGATCCAACCCTGTTATACAGCTAGTTACTATCAGCCTTGAAATTAGAGGCTAGATCTGAAAATTGGCTAAGGCTTTTATTCTCTTCTTTTCCTTTTAGCTACACTTCCCCTCTCCTTTTTTAAAAAATATAACACATACCAAAAATTTCATAAAACAAAACTAAAAAGTTAAGTGACTAAGTGAAAGCACTTAAAATCATCACAGAGGCTGAAAAATAGAACAGAGGCAGGAAACAACTATCCTGAGTTTTACAGAAAGCTTAACTTTTCTTTCTATGTACTTAGTAAGTTCTCTCAACACTTTCTGTATAAAAAAGACTTATGTACTGTTAAGACTTTTTTTATTCACAATTTTAATGCTACTGTATAGAATATCTGATTTTTAAATATTATGGAGAATTAAAAATATTTTTAAAAATAATGAATAATGTGCTGTTGAGTTAATGCGCTGCACTGCAAGATTAGTGGGTCAAGCTCTCCAGCGGCACCTCGGAAACCCCTACACAGGGTCGCTATGAATCAGAACCAACTCTGCAGCACTTAATAACAACAATCAAAAATTAACTGGCAGTCAATCTTGGTTTCAATTTTCTTTCAACCCACCCTCATAGATTTTGTTTTTCAATTTTTTAATTGTGAATTGAGTGAAGGTTTAAATATCAGATCATCAGTTTTACATTCAACAAATCATCCACTTCACTTCATCTCAATGACTGCAGTCGCTTCAATATAACATCACTTATCCCACATCCTTCATGGGATTGTTTCCATTCCTCCCCCTTTTCCATCTCTTCTGAACTTTGTCCTTAGCTAAATGCTGCCCTTTTCATATGAACTGGTCTACCATTCTGTGGTAGCATACCTCAGCAGTGTTGTTGGCCACCCTATGTATTTATCTACCACTTGCCTAAAAATTGAGTTCAGTTCCAGACTTAAAGGGTGACCAACAGTCATAGTATCTGGGTTCCTCCAGTTTCTTTTTTTTAACCAGTAAACCTGGCTTTTTTATTATTTTGAATTTTGTTCCATATTTTCACCACTCTACCCAGGACCTCCTAATGAGTTTCCTTTCAGGGCCGCTGGTAGTGGCAGCTTGGCACCATCTAGTTGTGATCTTAGAGAATGAGGACCACGTGGTTAGTCAGCTGGACTAATTGTTTCCAAGCATCTTTGATTTTCAGCACTCTTCTTTCCTCCAGTCAGGAAGAGACTCCTTAGATGGCTGCTCACAACTTTTTTAAAGGTATTCATTGCTACTCATTCAAGTAGAATGTACAGCATAGTCTTTGTGGACTATGTTATGCCAATAGACCTTGGTGTCCCCTGAGACTACGGTCCAGAGTCGCCAGGGCCAACAATTCCTTCCCTCAAGGTATTGTTAATGTCTACAAATTTTCATTCCACCATTTGTCTGTCAGTTTGTCATACTGTGGTGGCTTGTGAGTTGCTGTGATTCTGAAAGCTATGCCACCAGTATTTTAAATACCAGCAGGGTCACCCATGGTGGATAGGTTTCAGATGAGCTTCCAGACGAAGACAGACTAGGAAGAAGGAGTGACAAACTACTTCCGAATATTTAGTCACTGTAAACCTTATGAATAGCAGAGAAACACTGTCAGATATAGTGTCAGAAAATGAGCCTCTCAGGTTGGAAGGCACTCAAAATGCTTTTGAGTGTGAGAGAAGAATATTGAAAGTGCCACAGACTGCCAAAAGAACCAACAGATCTGTGTTGGAAGAAGTACAGTCAGAGTACTCCTTTGAGGTCAGCATGGCCAAACTTCATCTCTCATACTTTGGACATATTGTCAGGAGGGACCAGTCGCTGGAGAATGATATCATGTTGGTAAGGTGGAGGGTCAGAGAAAAAGAGGAAGACCCCCAGTGAGATGGATTAGCAAAGTGGCAGCCTCAATGGGCTCAAGCATGGCAACAATTGTGAGACTGGCCCAGGATCGGTCAGTGTTTTGTTCTTTTGTGCATAGGGTCGCTATGCGTCGGTACTGACTCGATGGCACCTAACAACAAGTTTTCATAAATTTGTCCCTGTGTGCTCCACCACATTCATGAATATGTTTGTAGCAACAGTAATGACCATGTACATATATCCCCTGTCAAACCTTTATGTATTTGTGGCTCTATGTCCACTCTCCATCCCACACCCATTCAGTTTGTGTATTCAGGTACCTACCCAATGTTGTTGTTGTTGTTAAGTGCCGTCGAGTCAGTTCTAACCTATAGCAACCTTGCAGAGGGTTTCCAAGGAGCTGCGGATGAGTTTGAACTGCCAACCTTTCAGTTCAAACCAGTATGTTTCCATAGATGACTGTTATTACAGGTTTGTGTATATAATAGCAATTACCATTATTCCCTTTAAGTCTGCACTCCTCCCGGTGTCTCCTGCCTTTATCACTCTTTGGCCAGCCTCCCTTTAGTTGTATATTGCATTCCCCATGACCCAGGTTAACACGTCTACTCTCTAGCCAGGGAATCATGCCCCATCCCCTCCTACACCTGGCTAGGAATGTTTCCTTTAGCATGAAAATCTTTTTTTTTTTTAATTTTACAATAGTGGTCTCACACAAAATTTTGTCTTTTTGCAACTAATTTCATTCAGCATAATGCCCTCCATGTTCACCCATGTTATGAGGTATTCCACAGATTCAACACTGTTCTTCAACACTGCATAGTGTTTCATTGCTTATATGTACCAAAGTTTGTTTAGCCATTCTTCTATTGGTGGGCATTTAGGCTGTCTCTATCTTTTTGCTATTGTGAATAGTGCTGTGATAAACATCAGTATTTCTCTATTTGTGTTATGGTTCTTACTTCTTGAGGATATATACCAAATTGGATAGATGATTACTGGGCCATACAGCATTTCTATTTCCAACTTTTTAAGGAATCGCCATACAGTCTTCCACAGTGGTTACACCATTTTACAGTCCCACCAGCAATGAAGGAGGGTTCCACAGTCTCTCTACACCTTTAACAGCATTTTTTGTTTTCTGAATCTCAGTATTAATGCTGGGATGAAATAATACCTCAAGCTGTTTTTATTTACATCTCTCTAACGGCTAGTGATCGTGAGCACTTCTTTATGTTTGTTGACCACTTGAATGCCTTCTTTGGTGAGATATTTGTGCATGGCCTCTATTTTTCAATTCTATTGTTTGTCTTTTTCTTGCTGAGGTGTTGAACTTTTCTATAAATTTTAAACACTAGTCTCCAGTCTGGTATTTATAAAAATTTTCTCACTCTGTGGGTTTTCTTTATATTCTTTTGGTTAAATCTTTTGATGCACCTAAGTGTCTAATTTTTAGGAGATCCCAGGCATCTAGTTTGCCCTCTGCTTCTTGTGTCTTTTTCAGGTATGTTTGATAGTGTATTTATGCCATGTATCAGAGTCCCTAACTTTGCCCCTATTTTTTCATTGGTGATATAGTTCTAATTAGATCTTTAACCCATCTCGAGTTCATTTTTGTATACACTGTGAGATATGGGTCTTGTTTCATTCTTCTGCAAATGGATATCAAGTTTTGCCAGCATGCTAAAAAAAGAGACTATCTCTTTCCCACTTAATGCGTTTTGGACCTTTGCCAAAGCTCAGCTGATTGTATGTGAATGGGCTCTCAATTCTGTTTCATTGATCTGGGTGTCTTTTGTCATACCAGTACTAGGCTGTTGTGACTACTGTGTTTGTGCTGTAGGTTTTGAGATCAGAAGGGAGAAGCCACGTAGTTTGTTCTTATTTCTTTGCCATTACATTAGAATTTGAAACGTCTAAATTTCATATCTTTTCATGTGTAACTATTTTCCTATTTATACCTAAAAAGGACTCACATAAAACAATAAGCAGCTATTTTCTAAAGAGTGCAATGAACAATGAGATGTCATCTCACTCCTGCAAACATGGCAGGAAGTAAGGTAACAGTCTAATGCAGCATTGTTATTGTTGTTAAGTGTTGCCGAGTCAGTTACAAATCATAGCGACCTTGTATAGGGTTTCTGAGAGCGGCTGGTGAATTTGAACTGCCAACTTGTGGTTCAAACTGACCATGCAGTTCAGTACTTATTCGACAGCACACAGTATAGTACATACAAAAGGTGCTCTGTGCAGTAATGATCACCAGCATTATTAATATAGCCATCGCTTTTTTTCCTTTTATTATTTTTCTATAGCCACCAATTTTAAGCCCTGAAATAAGTCTTACCTCTGTTGATGGGCTGGAGTATTGCTTGATGTCGTTCCCTCAACTTCCAGGGAAGAAGAAGCATATGATGGAATAGATTGTTCCAACTGATTTTCTTTTTCTGACTCTTTGTAATAAGTGTTGTCAACTACAGAAGACCAAACACAAGATAACACTCAAAACCCACAGAAATGAGTAAGATGAAAGATATATACATTTATAACTTACTACAGATTTCTACATTGAAAATGATAGATATACACATACATGTACATATAGATCTGCTTTTCTTAGTTGCTGTTACGTCAACAATTCTTATTTGGCTGTGTTGTTGGGTGCCTTAAAAAAAAAATATCCAGTCAAAACAGGCTTTAAGAGGATTTGCTGAGCCAGTTATATTCAAGGCAGAGAGCTCAGCTCAGAAGACTATGGCAACTGTCTTTGGAATTCCCAAGGGGAAATATCCAGGTAGGATTTTCTCAGAGGAACAGGGCAATCACAGGGAAGTTTTAAGAAATTATGAGGAAGTTTTAGCAAATTAAAAACTGCATTGGTGAGAAAAAGGCCAGGAAAGTTGTGCTAAGGAATTTTTTTTCCCATCACAACATACCTGCTCACTCTTCAAGGGTAGCAAGGGCAAGCTGTCCTAAGAGAATTTTGTTGGGAAAACTTACCCCATTCACCCTATAGCTGACTTTGACCCTTTCAGATTTCTTTTTGTTCCCCAAATTCAAAGAAAACTTAAAAGGAATATAAGTGCTGTCTCTCATGGATGCCAAAGCTGCCATGTTGATGTGATATAAATCAGAAAGTGTAGACTCCTTTGGGGGAAGGTTAGAGATGAGGGCACTTAACAACAACAATCAACTACATATGAAAGTGAAATGATGACATTCTGAGACATATGAAGACTCATGCACCTAATTTTAGGAAGTTCCTTGATGATGGACTCCTGAAAAATGAAGGCGTATATCAACCAATATAATACAAGATCCAAAAAGTAAGAGAGTAAAGGGAACTCGTAGAATAATACTTACACAACAAATGAAGAGAGGAAAAAAAAATAAAATTCAATCCAGATTAAATCAAAAGATGAAAAACTCAGGTGCCCACCCAAAAAAAAGCAACAGGTCATTATCCGATTATGAAGTAAACGAAACTGATACGGCAAAACTGAAGTAACTGATAAAGTTTAGAGAACAGAAAATCTACCTATTTGATGATAGATTCTACCTAACCTTGATGACAGGGTCATCTTTGGATGATCCAGGGCTAGTGACAACAGAACTAAGAACCAAGAAAGAATGCAGTTGCATCGTACCATGCACTGAGCAACATGTCAATAATCATCACAATGCATCTGTCCGCTAAAGGAGGACATTAGGGGAATGTACATAAGAAATAAAGATTTCGTATATACATCTAGAAGAAAAGAACAATGATCTCAACTCCATGACGTCACCTGCCACTTTACTTAAAAATAAAAAAACAGAGCATAATAAACCCTAAAGTAAATAGAAGAAATAATACACAGGACATATACTAGAAAAGATCAGAATGAAAATCAATGCAGAGACATACTTGATACGCCGCTACTAGCAGGCATTACAGATGTAACCACCAGCTTCATTTAAAGATCATAAGATTTAAAAGATATATTTGATGGAACCCATACTAAAGGGGGATGGATTCTTTGCTGGTTTCTGGGCTGTGGGGGTGGGGTGAGGGGAGGGAGGGGAAGGTGGAGTACAGGGCAGGGAATAGACACAGGATAGTTTGGGTGCTAGGGAGGGGGGCAATATGCAAGAAGGG